GGGGGGTCATTCCAGGTTCCTTCAAGCTTAAGTTTGTTTTAAAGAGCAATAGACAAACCGAGTCAGGGATTTTTAACAACTTTTTAAAAAATGACTATAAATGCATATTGAATAAGGGTACATGAACTGGGTCTTTGGTGCAGTGGTTAGGCACTGCGCTGTCAGCACTCATATGACCTTTTTGTGTTGAAAACCAGACCAAAGGGCTAGAACCCAAATGGCCGCTGGATCGGAAAAGTAAAAGTAAAGTAAAGTGTTGAAAATGTCATAAAACCCTCACTACAACTAACATTTGATCCTTCGCAGACAAGTCGAGTCTGATCCGAGCTGTCCTTTGTGCCGGACTCTACCCCAACGTGGCTCAGGTCACCAAGGTACACAAGCCAGGCCACAAGAGGCCAGGGTGAGGCATCGCTGTCTTCATGTTGTATGTCGCTATTGATGGTTTTGCTTTTGACATTGTTGTTAATGTTGTCTTTACTGTTGTTTTTATGGGTGTGTGTGCGTGCGTGTGTTTGTATGTGTGTGTGTGCGGGCGCACGTGTGTGTGCGTGGGCGTGTGTGGCCGACGGATTTAGGGGACCTCATTGTTATTGTTGTTTTGTTTTGTTTTTTTGCTTTATTTTTGTCCCTGTGCTGTTATTGTTGTCGACATGGATCCAGCAGCTCAAGAGGCTTTCTTCTTCAGGGACAGGTCAGTATAATGAAGAAAGACCTCGCCGTCAGAACACAAGTGTGCGATGACGTGGTAGAAGCTTTAACTCTGTAGTATGACCAGGATTTTTTCTAGCGCTATTCTACATTGTACAACGTTTCATCGACAAGCTGTTAAAATGCACTAAACCAAGAAAGCAAGATTTCACAGGAGGAAGGAAACATTTTTAATTCTGTTAACAATTGTAGCCACGTTATGTATTTTTTCCATCCTTTTTTTTTTTTTCAATATTTAGAATATGAATTTCATCAAAATATTTTTAGTGCACATGCAATTGATTCTACAGATTAAGAAATTGCAATAAAAAGGAAAATTTTGAATTTGTGGCTTTATATATATATTTTAACAACTAGCCGATGATTTCCTGAGCAGTTGCATTTTAATTTTAAAAAGCTACCTCTTTTAGAACTTCAGACATTGTGGGGAGACAGTAAAAGTCAGGGTTACAACTTATGACGATTTGTTTGTAAAGAAATATAGATCTAAATCTGTGAATGAAGTCTTCTCATTTTGGTTTTGACTTTATAAATTAGCCTGAGCAAAGTGGCATTTACCATCTGAAAAAATAGGTAGCTGCTGAGGTACAGTTAGTCATAGACCGTTACCTTACACTCTTTGTAAAAAAATGATCTTACCCCCTCCTTCAGACATCTCTTTAGGGGCTTGGCGGCTGCTTCAGTGTGGTTTGCTCTTTTTTTCCCATCAAACATCTATCGTCTTTATCTGTCTTTCTTCTCTTTTGTGTTTGCTATTCTCTTGTAACACCTCTAATCTTTGGCACTTATTTGACCTAATTGTGTTGCAAGTGCTGTAAACTCTTACTGAAACAAAGTAAACAGATATTCTCATGTGTCATTGCTACAATGATAGTTTCTTTTGCAAGGCATTATGAAAGGCAAAAAGCAATGCTTTTCAAATCTTTGCTCAAACATTTTGCACAAGAAATTACTTAATTGAGCTTATATCGAGAAAATGTTATGATGATACGGCCTTGATGTGTGTTCCGTCATGAACATTCTCTGAGCTACCAGCTCAGTCAATGACCAAATCTGAGTTGATAGTGCTGTAAAACACCTACTCAAACAAACCAAGCTCAGGAAACTAAAGAGTTCGAGCTTCTATTGGTGTTATGTTCACATTCTTTATAACATTCTCCGTACCCTCACAGTGGAGTGGCCATGACGATGAAGGACGACAGTCGTGTAGCTGTCCACCCAAAGTCGGTCAATTCAGAGGAGAGCTTCTTTGAGAGCAAGTGGATGGTTTTCTATTACAAGCTCAAGACTACAAAGGTAAAGCTTACTTTTCTGAATGTGAGGGAACATGTATGTATGTATTGAGGGGATGGTTTTCTACTACAAGCTAGGCCTGGGCAGGACTTGGACTTGGACTTGAGACTTGAAATTCTCGTGCCCATCAAGTAGTGTTTGAGACCAAGTATTTAGAACTGAGCAAGTCCAAGTCTTGTGTGGCCAAGCAAAATAGATCTATCCCTCAATCAAAAAATGCAATTATTTTAACGCACAGTAGATCTACAAACATTGAGTAAAGACTCAGTAAACCAATGTCTAAAGAAATGCTAAAAATTGGCATGTTTCTTATTAATTTAGTGCTTTCAGTTTGATTGTGTGAATTCAAATACACCTACCACCCTACTACTTGCTCGGACTTGCTCGTCCTAGGCGGATTGGTTGAGTCCATTTCTTCGATAAGGGGTAGGCAGTATCACCCCTATTACTTGCTAGGATTTGCTCGCCCTTGGCGTATTGGTTGAGTCCACTTCCTCGATAAGGGGTAGGCAGGCCTAGGCCCGGATAAGGCTTCAATGCCATCATTGCCATCCAAGGCTGAAGCTATTCCTGAGTTTATTAATACAACAGAGAACATAAAACAAACAAGCGAAGAAATTTTTTTTTTTTTAAAATAAAAAAATCAACCAAACAAGTATCACAAAGATGTTCCATACGTCTCAACATAGATCTAGATATAGATCTAGGTTGTTGGTTGGAGAACAACAAAATAATGATAACGATAAAGGGAAGTAATGCTGATGGCTTTACTATCAAAGAGACTATTCATGTTACATGTACATGTTACATGTATACTTTATTACGTCCCCTGGACTTGAAATTGGGCTTGAGACTTGCGGGTCTCAAGGTTTGAGGACTTGAGACTTGAAAGTCCTATTTTTTTCAATTCTGCCCAAGCCTACTACAAGTACAAGCTCAAGATTACAAATGTAAATCTTACTTTTCTGAATGTGTGAGAGCTTGTGTGTGTGTATGTTTTGGAGAGATGGTTTTCTATTAGAAACCCAAGATAACAACGGTAAATCTTACTTCTCTGAATGTGTGAGAGCTTGTGTATGTACGTATGTATTGGGATGAGTTGCCAATAGAAGCATAAAACATTTACCATTGTAAATTCTTCCCCACCATCAGCCTGTTAAGGTGGTTGGCAGGTGTTCTGGTGTGGTTTGCCTCCTTTTTTTCTATCGAATATCTACCGACCTTATCTCTCCTCCTACTTTTTTTAACTTTTTACTCTCTTGTAACGGCTCTAATCTTTGGTTCTCATATGATCGAATTGTGTTGCAGGTGCCGTAAAACTTTTACGAAACCAAACAACAAAACATATCAGCTTGTCCCACTGACTCACCCGCAAACTTTATTTCTCTGTTTCCCTTCACCCCCTCCACTTCAGGTGTATATCCACGACTGTACGATGGTCTCCCCTTACCCACTGCTGTTCTTCGGCGGAGAAATCAAAATCCTTCGGGTAAGCTCGCTGTGACAATGTCGAGGGCGTCTTATTCGTAAATTTTTTTAACATTGAATTTTTTACCTTTTTAGACAAAATCATGACAAATAATCTAGCAGAGATGGATAGTTGTACTTTGGTTTGTATATATATTGATCTTGTGTCGTTCTTAATTTTGTCAAAAGGGAATTGCAGTTGGTTAAATGGTTCAGATTTTATAGGATTTTGAAAAAAACCATCAGTCTACGGTGCTTTTACATAGTAAAATCCTTCAGTTTCAAGTGAGTTAAAAAGCTTATTAAAACGAAAACTCTTTCTAGAAACAAACATGAATTTTTACTATCCTGACTCACCCTTTTCTCTGTCATCAATCCACCCTCCTCTCCTCCATTTACCCTCATCTCCTCCTCTCCTCCACCCACCTCTCCCTCGTCTCCTCCAACCCTCCTCTCATTGACCCACCCCTCCCTCATCTCCTCAACTCACTCGCCCACCTTCTTCTCCTCCACCCACCTACCTCTCCCTCATCCCCTCCCACCTCCTCTCCTCCACCCACCCTCTTCTCCTTCTCTCATTGACGCACCCCTCCCTCCTCTCCTCCTCTAATCGACCCACGTCACCTCCTCTTATCGGCTTACCCCTCCCTCCCTCCCTCCCTCCAGGACCAGGGCACAGAGCTGGTGTCTGTGGACGACTGGGTTATCTTCAAAGCCTCGGCCTCTACTGCTCAAGTGGTCAAGGTGAGCTGGTGTTTGTTTCTCTGTGTGTGTGTGTGTGTGTGTGAGTGTATATGAGAGAGAATATGTGTGTGTATGAGGGAGAGTATGTGTGTGTGTGAGTGTGTGTGTATGAGAGAGAGTATGAGTGTGTATGTGTGAGAAAGGGAGAGTATGTGTGTGAGAGTGTGTTTGTGCATGTGTGTGTGAGAGAGAATGTGTGACTGTATGTGGGGGAGAGTGTGTGTGTGTGTGGGGGGGGGAGTATGTGTGTGTAAGTATGTGAGTTGTATTATATGTGTGAGTGTGTGTGAGATTCCTCCATAACTCACTCTAACACTCACCCCCTTCTCACAGGTGGTTGGAGGGCACCTTCTTCTTTACTTTCCCTGATGTATCTGTCTGTCTTTCTTTTTCTC